CCCAAAAATTTTAGCTCTAATTCAGTGAAAAAAGGGTCTAAATAATGCCCTGTGAAGTTTTCAGGGTTATCCCCAAAATGCACATAAACCGAGAAAAGTGTGCTTAAGTGTGTATAGCGGATTTACTCCGGAGTGCATACTAGTGGTTGGAGTTTGCCACTACATCCTGTACAGACTTCACACACACTTCACACACACTTGCTGAAATGCGCATGTGCAAGCAGCCATCTTTGGTGAGGGCTGACTTCATCAGCTGTTTAGCTGCAAACAATGACCTAACTGTTTGAAAATTGAATGAATTGACTGAAAAGACAGTTAATTTTGTGTCAACACTGAGTAATTGCTAAACATGGGTTTATTGTAAATACAGTTACTATATAAAAATATTCACTCGTTCCATAAATAACTTTTAAGACCCCAAACATTTCACTTTTTTAACAATGAAACATTAAGTAACATTAACCAACTTTTTCTATCTGTTTTTACAAGTATAAATGCTAGGCTAAACTAGTCTTGATGACATAAAGGCCTGGATGCCTCCGAACTTAAACTTTTAATTTAAAAGTTTAAAATTCAAAATTAAAATTTTAATGATAAAAAGACAGAAGTGATGGTTTTTGGTGGTACCACTGGGACCCCCCTGTACAAACTAGGGGTTAAAGTGGACCCTGATCTTAAGCTTGACAGTCAGATTAAGGCTGTCGTAAAATAAGATAAGATAATCCTTTATTTATCCCACAACGGGGAAATTTACAATGTTACAGCAGCAAAGAGCAAAGATTGCAAACAAAAAGTGAACGTAGTGTGCCCATACAATTTAAATAAAAAAATGAAAAATTAAGAATGTACAAAAAAATAGATAATATAACATGTTATTGCACAAAGTGGTTTGATAAACATAATATAACATTATTATTGCATGTCAGAGTGAATTGTCCAGTTGTGTGTGTGTTTTGTGATCAACTGGGAGCAGGCTTGGTTAAACAGTCTGACTGCAGCAGGAAGGAAGGACCTGCGGTATCTCTCCTTCTGACCTGCCGCTGAAGGAGCTGCCCAGAGCTGTTACAGTTCCATGCAGGGGGTGGGAAACGTTCTCCATCAGGGATGATAGCTTTGCCATCATCCTTCTGTCTCCCACCACCTCAACAGGGTCCAGGGGGCAGCCCAGGACAGAGCTGGCCTTCTTCACCAGTTTGTTTAGTCTGTTCCTGTCGGCAGCCGTAGTGCTGCTGCTCCAGCAGACCACTCCGTACAGGATGGCTGATACCACCACAGAGTCATAAAAAGTCCTCAGGAGTGCTCCCTGCACAGAGAGTGTGGAGTCTCCTCAGCAGATGAAGTCTGCTCTGGCCTTTCTTGTAGAGATCTTGGCTGTTAACAGTCCAGTACAGCTTATTGTTCAGGTGAACACCCCTACTTATAAGAGTCCACTTCTCAATGTCCTTTCCCTGGATGTTCACCGGTGTGGGAGAAGTGGGTAAAATCAAGCCTTTTCCATTTGAGGCAGCTGGCCAAAATAAAGCCAATTCTTTCAAGGCAGCACTTTGAGACGGTAATCCACGCCTTTGTTACCACGCCCGTCTCCAGATGGTACAGAATGCAGCTGCATGTCTTTTAACTGGCACACGAAAATATGACCACATTTCCCCCATTTTAGACCTAACTCCACTGGTTGCCCATACAATTTAAGATTAATTTTAAAATTATTTCATTTGCTTTTAAATCTCTTAATGGTCTTTCCCCGCCCTACCTCTCTGAGCTTCTACACCCCTACACGCCCACCCGCTCTCTCAGGTCAGCTGATCAGCTGCTCCTGAGGGTGCCAAAAACCAAGCGGAAGCTCAGAGGGGACCGTGTGTTTGCTGTTGCGGCTCCAAAATTATGGAACAATATACCTATACCCATTGTGGGATAAATAAAGGATTGTCTTATCTTATCTTATCTTATTTTACCTCAGCACGTTAAACAGGCCTGTTTTTAAATATCGTCTTAAGCCCCATCTCTTTCCCCTGGCCTTTGACACATAGTAAGACGTCGACTTATTTATTTATTTTATTTCGCTTTTTTGCGTGCCTATTCATTTTTACTTGTTTTATGTCTTTTAACTTGATTCTGTACTTCACATGTAGTTTTCTTTTATCTCGTGAGCTGTTACATATTTTATTTATTCTTCTGTACAGCACTTTGGTCAACTGTGGCTGTTTTAAAGTGCTTAACAAATAAAGTTGGATTGGATTGGATTGGATAAACCTTCGCAGTGATTAATAGCCTATGATAGCTACAGCTATTGAAGTAGGCTAAGATACAACAAGCCAGTGATCAAATGTTCTGACTTCACTTAAACAAAAAATAACAGAAATGAAAATGAATGAAAATTATATTAATTAACCTTAAACATAATACAAACAGGTATTATTCATAAATAAATGAGTGAATTTCTTCCGCGAGATTGTGTTGCCTTGATAAACCATGGTGACATGCCAGGCGGGCGGAGACAGGAATCGTAGGTGTAACCGCCTCCCCACCCCTACAGGACGTGCTCACTTTACTGAACAAGCGCTCCTCATCTCATCACGTGTGAGACGCGCAGCAGAAGAAGCACTTGACTCCAGTTTGATGAAGTAAATGGAAGCAGGGCTGCTGATACTGAAAAAGTAAGTTATATTTAATTTAATATGGATTTATTTCAGTGCACTGAGCCAGACTCATGTGGTCAGACTCAAAGAAGTGTTTAACTCGACATGAGTCTGGTTAGCTGAGTTAGCTTAAACACAATACATGTGGATTGTTAAAAATGTGTTTGCGTGTTATAAAGTTAAAAAGGAACATGCCTTGCTTTTTTTACCCTTTGTACCCGTTGTAAAGTTGTTGCATTCAATTGAAGTAGCTAAATGCTAACAAAAAAAGCCAAGTGGCGAAAGTCAATCTTGTAGCCGCCTTGCTTAAAACTGAGGATATTCCTTGTAAGTAAATCATACTTGTGTCATATTGATTCTTGTAAAGTTACAAATGTGTGAAAGATGTGAGCCAGAGAGAGATTTTGAATAATAATATCTAGTTAAATCTTCCATTACTTCAAGCAGCTCAATGATTCAGTGTACACCTTCAAAAGCAAATGCATTATTTCTCAGTGAAATATCAAGTAAAGTCTTTACTAGTTAACAAGTAAAGTAGATATTGATGCAAAATATATCCACAAAAGGAGATGTAGATGTGATTGTCAGCCATAAAAGTGCTTCATGTGTAGTCTTTGATAGACCGCAGCATGGTGTGTGATGAGCTTCCTTCTGATGTCATGCCTCTCCAATTAAACACTACAAAGTATTGAATGTAGTCATATTGACATCTTAACATCTATAATAGGAGCTTTAACTGCAATTTTTGTATGTGTATATGTAGACAGTAAAGACAGAAGAAAGTGTGCATATTACATTTTTTCTTCAATCAATACTTCTTCAGTTCCATATATCTGCATTAATATAAATGAAATGTGAGATGAAAGAAAACAATACATTAGATGATTGATGATTATTGTGCAAGGCTAATTCTGTGTAGAAAGTTAAGGGATGCTGCAGACCTCTGCAAACTGTCTGTTTGGGCACTATGATCATATGAGCCACAGCAGATCAACAGGTAGCAGTCACAAGCTACTCATGCAGGTAGTGTGTCCAAGCTGTGACTATCAGGTTACATGCTCTGTATTTGATTACAGGATGATCAATGGCTTCGCTGAGACGGAGGAAATCCCCAAAACAGGATGCAATAGAACATGCTTTGAAAGGCCTGGACAAGACAGCAGGGTTGGAAGTGAAATACATTGACTCTTTTAAAGGTATGATTATTTTTTTTCAGTATTATTTAGTTTTGTGAATTTGTAGTACTATCAGAGCTTACCTCTTACTATTACTGATGGGTACCAAACACCAGTGTCATGGTTGCATTATGATGGAAAAGACTCCTTTCTGTGCAGTTTCCAGGGTGTTAAAGTATAACACTGAAGCTCTGTATATTGAAAATGTATCTGTGTGTTTGCATCAGGTCGAGGGGTCTTTGCCAAGACCCATTTCCAAAAAGGAGACTTCATTGTGCAGTATCGAGGAGAATTAATAGATTCTGATGAATCTCTGAGAAGGAGGAGAGTATACCATGGCAGATGTGCTGTCTTCATGTTTGACTTCCACTGGCATGATAAAACATGGTGGTAAGGCTAAGATTGAGTTTTAAATAATTTATTTCTTCACAGCTGAGGTATTTTCATCTCATAAACAATGTGTGATATTAATTCAAGTCACTAAGTTAATTGGGCAGTAAAGATCTGTCTACTTAGTATTAGTATTAAAGGTATTCATAGCTTGCATGTGACATCACACACTTCAGGAACCACCAACCTGGCGGGCAAGAAAGGCTCCATACTGCTGTATACTACGGGGACGTTATCGATCTCAGCTGCTATCCACATGCTAATATCAGTCTTCTTTGAATATTTCAATCAAAGTCAGTAGTTGTTGGATGATGAACTAACTGACAAGGAGATAAGCCAGGGTTGTTCTTCTACAGAATGTAATGTTTGATAGAAAACCCAGAGAGGAGGAGATCATGGATTAATGCTGTTTGACACTCTGCTGTCCTCGTGAGGGAACAGACTTCTCATCCTGACATCAAATATTGTGTTCACTTGATCTAAGTATTTTCTGTTCTGCAGTTCTACACTGTTCAATGGTGGACCCTACTTCCCTCAGCACTTTTTGTCCTCCAGCCCTCTGTGATGGTCACTTGAATGAAAGCTTTGAGCTGTGTTACAAAAAAAAAACTAAATGATCTTTATTGAAGCTCTCTCTTAAATGATTGGTGGATTATTATTATTTTTTAATTCTATCAGATATTTGATTTTATGAAGTCTAATAATTGATTTAATATATTTTTGAAGTGTTGATGCAGCTCGAGAAGATGGCAGTCTAGGAAGACTAGTCAATGATGACGACAAGCACCCGAACTGTAAAATGAAGAAGATCATAGCAGAAGGCAAGCCGTACCTCTTTCTCTTTGCTATGATGGACATCAATGCTGGGGAAGAGATAACATATGATTATGGACAAGCAGATTGGCCTTGGAGGAAACAGGTTAGTCTAAATTGAGTAGCACACCCAGGTGTTATTCTGTTGATTACAACTGAACAATTACACTGAATTTTTCTTCAGGATGGAAGCAAATTTACCGTGAAAAATTCTGCTGAGGTTGACATCTCCAGAACCACGGAGCAGGATCCTCAGAGCACTTCTGTCTCCCAGATTGAGGTATTCATTTATGTTTCTGAACTTTTTCTGGTCTTCAGTGTGTCCCTACTTTAGTTTTTGAAGCCCCTCCTCATTGATCCATTGTTTTAGTATTAACACTTTAGATTGATATTTGGTTAAAATCAGTGTCAGTGTTGGGTCATAGATGGAAAATTAAAACTAAAGGCTTCAGGGTGTTCTACAATAAGTATATTTTTAAAGATTTTGTTGTAATGTTGCTTGTTGAATCTAAATCAACAACAATCAGTAATGATGGTTAATTATATTCTTCAGGATGGAGGCCAATCTCCTATGACAGACTCTGCTGAGGCTGACATCTCCAGAACCACGGAGCAGGATCCTCAGAGCACTTCTGTCTCCAAGATTGAGGTATTCATTTATGTTTCTGAACTTTTTCTGGTCTTCAGTGTGTCCCTCCTTTAGTTTTTGAAGCCCCTCCTCATTGATCCATTGTTTTAGTGTTAACACTTTAGATTAAATTTAGATTTGATTAAAATCAGTGTCAGTCTGAGGTCATAGGTCATAGGTGTGCTAGCAGGCACATTCAGGTTTTTGAGGTTTTGGGGTCCTGTCAGGGTGCTGGTTTAGTAGATAAGTACTCTCCATTTCACACACACACCTGTCAGGTATCTTGTTTTTGTGGGGTCCACGGTTACTTTATTATTATATAAACATTTAATGACACTTAGTTTATTCTTTCTGACCAACATTTTAATTGAACACCATGAGTGACACTAGTTCTTGAACTCTGGCTTCATCTGTTTTCCACTGCACTAAATAAAGTGTCATTAAATGATATCAATATAATTCACTAATCGTGGACCCCACAAAACAGGACACATGACAGGTGTGTAAGTGGGGGAGGGGTAACACCCAATGAAACACTCTGAGATGACCCCACAACATCATAAACACCTGACAGGTGTGTTTAAGTGAAGGAAACACTCTGAGAGGACCCTACAACATCATATACACCTGACAGGTGTGTTTAAGTTAAGGAAACACTCTGAGAGGACCCTACAACATCATATACACCTGACAGGTGTGTTTAAGTTAAGGAAACACTCTGAGAGGACCCTACAACATCATATACACCTGACAGGTGTGTTTAAGTTAAGGAAACACTCTGAGAGGACACTACAACATCATATACACCTGACAGGTGTGTTTAAGTTAAGGAAACACTCTGAGAGGACACTACAACATCATATACACCTGGAGGTTCCTACAGCCAGAGTACATTGATCTAAATCAAACCAAGATGTACTTCTAAGAGTTAACACCCAAACAATGGATCAAAGTGGAGGGGAATTCAAACTTAATGACACATGATGTACTGAATAACTATATAAGAAGTATTTTTCTCATTTGTATTTGCTTAATGGTATTACATCTGAGATATGTCAGTGATTATTTCCATCAACAATTAAACTACTTATATTCTTCAGGATGGAGGCCAATCTCCTATGACAGACTCTGCTGAGGTTGACATCTCCAGAACCACGGAGCAGGATCCTCAGAGCACTTCTGTCTCCCAGATTGAGGTATTCATTTATGTTTCTGAACTTTTTCTGGTCTTCAGTGTGTCCCTCCTTTAGTTTTTGAAGCCCCTCCTCATTGATCCATTGTTTTAGTATTAACACTTTAGATTGATATTTGGTTAAAATCAGTGTCAGTGTTGGGTCATAGATGGAAAATGTAAACTAAAGGCTTCAGGGTGTTCTACAATAAGTATGTTTTTAAAGATTTTGTTGTAATGTTGTTTGTTCAATCTGAATCAGTTGAATACTGATCAACAATTAGTAATGATGGTTAATTATGTTCTTCAGGATGGAAGCCAATCTCCTATGAACCTCTCAATCTCTAGAACCATGGAGCAGGATCCTCAGAGCACTTCTGTTTCCCAGATTGAGGTATTCATTTATGTTTCTGAACCGTTTACTGGTCTTCCTTTTAGATCTCGAAGCCTCTCCTCATTGATCCATTGTTGAAGTATCAACATTATTGATTATTATTAAGTACATATTTGTTTGGTTACGATCTATGTTCATCTGATTTGAGAGGTATGCTAGAAGGCACTCATTCTAGAGGGTGAGATACAGTGCCAGTTTATTTGGAGGTTTTTCTGTTTGGTGTATTCTAATTTACTGCATTCATTAAATGCATGAAATCACTTAATTTCTAATGTTTTTGAAATATATTTTTAATACACCAAATCACAGTTTATCTAAATTCATCAGACCATTAAAAAATGTGTCATGAATAGGGATTTAGCAATGCCTCGCACTATAAAATAAATGTATGAAAATATGCACAATGTAATTAGATTTTACCGAAATAATGACCTTTTTGTCCAGCATAGTGGGCTATGTGCTTTTGTCTTCTTTTGTTCTTGTTCAGTAGAAGAGGGACATACAGGCATAAAATGAAGTATAGAAGTGATATGAGCAGAAAACCGGCAAGACAAAAACAGTGTGCAAATGTAAGAGACTGATGAATGACTTGATAACCAACATGATGTGTCACCTAATCATGTAAAATGCCGCCACTCTACAAAGCTTTGTATTTTCCACATTTCTTTTTATCATGTCACTATTATTTCAATAGGGCTCTGATGCAACCGGTCTGAACAAAGTTGGAGTAAATATTTCCATTGTCGACTACACAGATTCTGATGAATCTCAGACTCCATCTAGGAATCCTGTTCATGTTAACAGATGTTTTCAGGTATTGTGAAGTTGGTACATTTTGTGTGTGTATCTTTTTCATCAATTGTGTTTTTTTGTTGTGAATAGAAGTGAAAAAAAAAATTTCTTTTGGACTCTAGATATCAAGTCCAAGTTCTGCCTCTGACTATGAACTCAGCCTCTCCAAAAAGGGTTACCACCAAGTTCCTATCCCTAGGCTTAGGAGGACCAAAAGCATACAGGTAAAGAAACAAATAATTTTGAGCAAGATGAAAAAAAGGTTAAGCAAATATTTCAACAAGAATTTATATTACATTTTATTTTCCCAAGATGAAAAACTGGATTGATTTGGATTCGGATGAGCTTTTTGACTCAACCTCAGCTGACAGTGGAGAGGAATATATCCCAAAGACCAGTGAAGATTCTGATGGTACAGACATCAGTGAAGTTCTTGGGCCCGTCAAACAGAGAGAGAGCCAGAGAGACAGTTTGCTTCAAAGGCATGTGGATGACATTGAAGATAGTGTTTTTTCCCCAACAGAAGCAAGTGCCTCTTCAAAACAGTTGGTTTATAGAGGACGCTCACCCTTAAGAAAGAGATGCAGCCGTGGTACAAGACGTAAAAGGCAACGTTTAACTAGTGTGTCCTGTGCTACAACACCAACTAGGAGTGGTAACTCATCAAAACTGAGTGAAATAGGAGACACTGGTTCCCTGTTAGAAAACTCAATTCCAGATCTGGACCAGAATCTTCCTGACAGTGCCTCTTCACTCCTTACAGAAGATAGAGATTCTGATGATTCACTCGTCATACCTACCATCTGTAAAAAGGAGAACGGTCAAGAATATACAACAAAAAGCAGTTTTGTCTTTACTGTAAGTTGGGAGTTGTTAAAATTGCAAGACATTTGGAGCGGGCTCATCCCAATACGACAGAGGTTGCAGAGGCTTTATCCTTTCCTAAACGCTCAAAAGAAAGACGAATGCATCTGGAACATTTGAGAAACAGAGGCAACTTTGCACACAATGTTGAAGTATTAAATTCCGGTGTTGGAAATCTTGTTCCTCGCAGGCAGCCAAGACAGGACTCCAAAGCACAGGATTTCATGCATTGTACATATTGTCAAGGGTTTTATGCAAGGAAACTTCTTTGGCGGCACATGATCGTCTGCAAGTTCAAGCCTAATGTTCCAGGCAAACCAGGCAAAACCCGTGTCCAGGCTCTCTGTGCATTTACTACACCACCACCACCTGGTGTCAAACAAGAACTTTGGAGATTGATAACCAATATGGTACAAGATGAAGTTTCTTCTGCAGTCAAATCTGATGCCTGTATCATGGAGTATGGTGAGCATCTGTTTAACCGACTTGGTTATGATGCTGGCAAACATGAGTACATTCGGCAGAAATGTAGAGAGCTTGGAAGGCTTCTGCTCTGCTCAAGGAAAACCACTTCCTTAAAGACTATTCAAGACCACATCAAACCTGCGAACTTTATGCAAGTTGTGCAAGCTGTGAAATGTGTGGCAGGCTATGACAGTGAAAAACATGCTTATAAGTGCCCAAGTCTTGCTCTCAAAATTGGACATAGCTTGACTAAGATTTCTCTTCTTGTTGAAAGCCGTGCCAATGTACAGAACAACTACAGTGTGGCAAAAGATGCTCGTACCTTCCGCAGAGTATATGAGGCCAGATGGAACGAGATGATATCAGCTGCATCTCTAAGAACTCTTCAGGAATCCAAGTGGAATACCCCTCTGTTGCTTCCATTCACAAAAGATGTCCAGACCTTGCATTCTTTTTTGGATGTTCAACAAAAGCACATCCACGCAAAATTATCGACAGAGGCATCCCGCAGACATGGACACAGCTGGCAAAGATCACTTTGACACAAGTTATTTTGTTCAACCGAAGAAGAGCAGGGGAGGTGTCCAAAATTCCCCTGTCTGCATATCTGGCTAACAATGTATCAGACCCTCGGGAAGATGTCAGTGAAGCTCTGTCTGCATTAGAAAAGAAACTCTGCCAACACTTCAGAAGGATTGAGACAAGAGGAAAAAGGGGAAGAAAAGTTCCTGTGCTTTTGACCCCAGCAATGCAGCAAGCATTGGATCTGCTGGTGAGCAAACGGCATGAATGTGGGGTTCCTCAGGAGAACAAGTACTTATTTGCAAGACCAACTGCTTTTACCTGCTACCGTGGTTCTGATAGCCTTAGACATTTTGCCAAGGTCTGTGGTGCAACAAGTCCTGAAAGTCTAACCTCGACAAAACTGCGCAAACAAACAGGAACACTATCTCAAGTTCTCAACCTCAGTAATACAGAGCTGGATCAGTTAGCAGATTTTCTCGGCCATGATATAAGAGTGCATCGGCAGTTCTACAGACTTCCTGAGGGCACCCTCCAACTTGCTAAAATAAGCAAAGTTCTCATGGCTCTGGAAAAAGGACGCCTGGCAGAATTTAAGGGAAAGACCCTCGATGAAATCAGCATTGACCCTGAGGGTACTATTGTTTTTAAATCTCTTTTCAAATGTCTCTACATAAATAAAAAATGTACATTAATACTTTTATTTCATACATTTTCCTAAATGCATTATTTATGCATGAATCAAATGAATTTAAACCAGAGTCATTCTCCTTACTACCACCCCCTAACAGAGAATGTGCATCCTGACAGCGATGCTGAGGTGGAGCCAGACAAACACGGTAAGTATTTTCATGTGAGTTGAATTGTGAACATGCTCATGTATTTAGAAGACATCCATTATGTGTAAGGATATCCCATTTATATTTTTGGCTCCTTTAATGTAGTATAACTTCTGTCACTTAGTCTGTTTCTTTTGTTTACTAAATGTTAATATTGTATGAGTTAAAGATAAACAGTTCAATGCAACTCATCCTCCCCTTAGTGGAACTTGTGTCTTCAGAGCTTGCAGTCCTCTAATTTGTACTAGCATTTGGTGAGGGGAATGCTCCCACTGTGGACTCAGTTTGTTGAAAGGAGTAGCATAGTAACAGCCACACGGAGGGATAAGACTAATTTTGACAATACCAGTCCATTAGAATGCTGATACTGATTATTAGGTTGAGCCTGGGACATAGTCATTTACTGGGGTAGGATAAATACACTAGAATTTCATATTTTCTGTTGTTGTTTTTTTGTTGTTGTGGTTTTTAGAAAGTCGGGTCACATCTAGTCAGAGGGAGGAGAACGAGGCATCAGATGTGGGCCATAGCAATGCCTCACCACAGCAGAACCGTAGCGATGCCTCACCACAGCAGAACCGTAGCGATGCCTCACCACAGCAGAACCGTAGCGATGCCTCACCACAGCACCCTCAGTCATCAAAAAGAGAAAGAGGCAAGTGCTAAAAGATCAATCTAAAGAAAAATGTATATTATTGTCCAAGGTTGATTTGTTTGATTGTCAGTGTGTTTTATGATGCTGTACTGTAATAGACATTGTGGGAACAAAGACAATTCTTGTTTTAAAACAGGGAATGATGATCAGGGTCTTCAGAAAGAGTCAGCTTTATTGTCCACGTGTGTGTAAACATACAAGCATATGAGTTTGGCTCTGGTTAACTTTACTCTCTATCTACAAGCATTAAACATTAAACTAAGATGTAAAGCCAACATTACACAATAAGATATTGGAATAAATATAATGTAATAACAGAGCAAATTGTTTAATTTACATGAGATAGATCAATTTTACAGTATTTTCAGTTACATACATTTGTGCATCAAATAAAGAAATTATATTAGCATGATTAACTGTGAATGAATATACATAATAGTTAAGTAATATATTAATTGATAGGTAAATAATGTTATTTACATTCACATTGGCTGTCACATGACTTTTTCACAGTGATAGTTCTGATGCTGTGACTATTATGTATTCATCGGTGTGACGGCCTGGGGAAGAAACTATTCCTGTGTCTGGTTGTTTTGGTGTACAGTGATCTAATGGAGCATGATGAGTTTCAACAGTTTGTGTCTGGGCTGTAAGGGATCTGCAGGAATGTTACCTGCCCATTCCCTGACCCTGGACCAGTATAAGTTCTGGGTGGAGGGCCTGATGAGTTTCTCTGCAGTCCTGATTGTCTGCTGCAGTCTGTCTGTCCTGTTCGATTACAGATCAAAATAGTTATTGATGTGCAGAGAAGTGACTGGAAGATTGCAGTGTAGAATATGATGAGCAGCTCCCAAGGCAGGTTGAACTTCCTGAGCTGACACAGGAAATACATCCTCTGCTGGGCCTTTTTCTGGATAGTGTCTATGTGAGCGGTCCACTTCAGGTCCCGGGAGATTGTGGTCCTAGGAACTTGAAAGTGTCCATTGTGGACATAGTGCTGTTGTGTATGGTGAGGGGATGGAGTGTGGCTTCTCCTTAAGTCCACTGTTATCTCCACAGTCTTAAGCTTGGTCTGCTCATGATGGTTGACTTTAACTGTTTATTGATTTCAATAGCTTGTCCATATAGAAACACAGAAATGTAATGTGTCTTAACTATTTTACAGCTCGTCAGCCTGCCAAGAAAAGGATGTGGGAGAACGAGGAGATCCTTGCCATTGAGAAGCACATGATGTCCTTCATCATCAAATGTCGTGTTCCTGGGAAAAGCGACTGCGATAAGTGCCTTGAACAGGAAAAAGTAGCACTTAAAAACAGAAATTGGTTATCTATTAAATTCTACATTAAGAATAGAATCACAGCTCTTAAGAGGAAAGTTTAATCTATATTGTCTGTTGACACATCATGTTGGATCATTTGGATCACTTTCATGTTTGATAATGTGGTGCAACAATAGCACGTCCATTTTTAAATGTTGGACTTAGCGTTCTTTAAGATGCAGGTTTGACACAGTGTCTCTTGATAGTTTATCTCCTATACTCTTATTTTCTCCCATATGATCTCAGCTCACCTCCTTCCTTTTTAACTCAATATTTTATATAATTTCACCTTTTCTTTTACATCCTCCTGTCATACCTTATCTCCTGTACCGATACCATGTCTCATCTTCTCTTTTGTCTTTTATTCTTATTCGTTTTTATCTCCTTTTTAGTAATATTTCCTAATTGTATCTAATGTAACCTCTCCACTCATCTCTAAATTTATTTTATCTTATCTTCTACTTTATCACCTCTAATGTCTTCTCTGTATGTTATTTCTAATTTTCTCAGCTCATTTCCCTTTCTTATTTCCAATCAATCTTGATGTTAGATATTCTAATCCCCATTCTTCTTACAGTTTATCTTATCTCATCTCAATTTGTTTCGTCCTATCTCCTCATCTTACCCCTCTGCTCGATTATCTCACTGTAATTTATTTTATCTCACCTGATCTTTCCTCTCATCTTTTCCTATATTTATTATTTCCACTCATCTCAACCGTATCCTTTATTATTGTAGTTTATCCCATTTTATTCAGTCTTATCACTTTGTTTCCTGCCTGTGATATTCTTCTTCCGTTATTTAAATTGCTATAATCTTAACTCATCTGATCTTATTTATGCTTATTTTACTTACTGTCGAACTTCGTGACATTGTCGCTGTTCCTTTAAGCTGTGAAGGAAGTTATAAACTCTTTAGAGCAGTTTTTATTTAGCAACCAAAAGCACTGTATGTAAAAAACACTTTTTTTTAGTTTAGTATTTGTTTATAATACTGGTTTAATCTTTCAGTTTACAAAGTGCAAGGAAAAAGTGACTGTTGAGTAATGTTCCTAAACTCTGCATCTTTATTGGCATTTTTGTCCAACCTAGTGTTGTACATTTATAGTTGTGTTCATTTGACACAAAAAAGAAACAAATAAAGCTTTGGACTTTATAATTCATCATATGACCAAAGTCTCTCTTTTGGTTTAGCTTCTGTTTAAATAAGGAAATAAAAAAGTACTGGATAGCACTGCCTTTACAGTAGATGTTTAAAATCTGAGGCATCGTGGTCTGACGTAATCCATGGTTATTGTATAAAAGTAACTTCTCAGGTTATTTACACCATTTGACAACATAATAAAGTAATTATTAACTGCTACAAATGCAGGAAATTTGTTCTGTAATAACCACAAACAAGCTTAGACATGAAAGAAAAGGGAACTGTTTTCTGACCAAACCAAAGTGGAAATGGTGAACTAATGACAGAACATTGACACGTCAATAATGGAACTACATCAGCTCAGGTGTCACAGCAGGCTAAGAGACGAATAAAACTCCATATTAAACATTATTTAGTTATCTAGGATTAAAAATAAATGTATTGTATAATTATTCAAGCTTCAGCTAGCTCCATATAGTCAATAACATGCTGTATCATAGCTCCACAGTACTTAAGTTCACCATAAAGGATGAAGTGGTTCCCCAAGGTAAGATGGACCTGATTTTGTGTTAAGTGGTGGTACCCATGAAAATAGAAAAACCTGACAGTGTGTTAGATATTTGCCCACAAGTAACTTCAAACCTGACATGTCCCCAGGAGGAGGTGTCTAGTCTGTTCGAGGAACTTTACTTTGTCTGATTGTTAATCTGAAGTGATTTCTTTGTTTAGGTATAGTACAAGATGATGCCTGATTTTTTACAGAGCTGTACATCCTTCAGAAAGGGTGGTACCTGTGTGTGTGTGTGTGTGTGTGTGTGTGTGTGTGTGTGTGTGTGTGTGTGTGTGTGTGTGTGTGTGTGTGTGTGTGTGTGTGTGTGTGTGTGTGTGTGTGTGTGTGTGTGTGTGTGTGTGTGTGTGTGTGTGTGTGTGTGTGTGTGTGTGTGTGTGTGTGTGGTGTGTGTGTGTGTGTGTGTGTGTGTGTGTGTGTGTGTGTGTGTGTGTGTGTGTGTGTGTGTGTGTGTGTGTGTGTGTGTGTGTGTGTGTGTGTGTGTGTGTGTGTGTGTGTGTGTGTGTGTGTGTGTGTGTGTGTGTGTGTGTGTGTGTGTGTGTGTGTGTGTGTGAAAAGAATTGGGAGCGATGTCAAATTAAAACTGTATAATCAAGAAGTGGAGAGAGTAAGACACTTTAAGTTTTTAGGGTTCTGGTTTGATGAGAGGATTACATGGGCTGCATGTTCAGAAAGTTTGAAATGTTGTGAGTGGGTTTAGTTGGAAGTGAGTGGGGGGCAGACTGCTGTGAAAGCATACAGGATGAATAAGATCAGTATTAGATTATGGTTGTATTGTATATGGATCAGCAGCAAGCACAACTCTTAAAAAACTAGATACTATCCAATATCAGGAATTAAGACTGTGTACAGGTGCTTTTAAAACAACACCAACACTGAGATCAGTCATTTGTTCAGATTCAAGTTCATCACTCATCAGTTTACAGTCATTCAGACAGCAGACATTTAGACAACAAACACTATACAGAAGTCAAATGATGTTTTTATTGGTACCTGCACACAAAGGCTTCAAAGGAAATGAATTAGCAGACAAGGTGGCAAAGGAGGCTACGAAACATACTCAAATGGATTTGATAGTTAGCATTAGTGGAACAGAAGTGAAGAGCATTATTAAACAGAGACTGAAGGAAAAGGTGGCAAGACTCAGATTTGGACACACTGGATTCAATAACACATTGTTCAAAACAGGAAAACACAAATATGACTACTGTGGACAAGAGGAGACAGTGGAACATGTTGTTAGACACTGTCAGAAATAAAGTTTAAAAAGAAAAAAGAAACACAGTTAAGCAGTGAGTACAGTATGTTATTCTTCTTTTCTCTAGTCCCTCAATTAAACAACTTTTATACACGAGGGGAGGAGTCAGCCGGCCGTCCCGGCGATGTAAACAAAGTGAAGATAGGACTCTGAAAACATCACAGACAGTGGGACTCGGGTGTTACACCCATTGTAGACAGTCATGACTCACAGAGTTATTTTCAGAGGATATACTTGATTTATATTATATTTAAGTGTGAAAAATCACAAATAAAGACTTTAAAGTATATTTGGATTTAATAGATATCTTACAAAATAACTTCGAAAATGAAGCTGTAGGACAAACTCAGTTGGTTGACAAGATATAATAGATTTTTATCTGGTTATTATTATTATTATTTACAGAAAGTAGTACACAATAGATATTATGATCCACACTCCTGACCAGTAGGTGGCAGAAATGCACCAGTTTGTTGTTTGCCAACCGCCATAAGAAGAAGAAGAAGAAGAAGAAGAAGAAGAAGCGATGGAGTGAGTAGATTTATTTCAGAGCACTGCAGAGCAACCTTTTTAAAATATGATTTTTGACACACTTTGAGAAGAAAACTTTATATGTGATTTTTTGATCCAGCAGATGTCGCCCTTGAGCACCAGCATGAAACCAAAACAACTTGCGCTGCATTGTTGTGTTAGCATGCTAATGCTAGTGATCTTTATTATGCTGGTATCTTCACACTGCATGTAAATTTACCTGAAATGAGCGTGATCTAGAAACACAGTGAAACAGTGAGTACAGTATGTTATTCTTCTTTTCTCTAGTCCCTCAATTAAACAACTTTTATACACGAGGGGAGGAGTCAGCCGGCCGTCCTGGCGATGTAAACGAACTGAAGATAGGACTCTGAAAAGAAGAAGAAGAAGAAGAAGAAGAAGAAGAAGAAGAAATGGAGTGAGTAGATTTATTTCAGAGCACTGCAGAGCAACCTTTTTAAAGTATAATTTTTGACACACTTTGAGAAGAAGACTTGGAGGTAACTCAGTCTCCTGTTGCATTGTACTGAGACAAACTGAACAAAATGTCTGCTAAATCATCCAAAGGAAGAAAAACATGTCTTTTAACCACGAGGCCTTCAACTCGTACTCCGACCGCGGCCTCCACTGAAAAACCTCCCCGGGGAGAAGCAGCCTCAGCTGCAGCCGCATCTACGACGGACACGGAGACTTTTCAAAGTGAGCTTCTGTCCTCCCTGCTCAAAGATTTGATAGAGACTCTGAAGATTGAGGTCCGGGCTGTGTTGGAGAGTGAAATGGCAGTCATTAGAGCCGACATTACTGCAGCCAGGTCCGAGCTAAAGGAATACAGAGAGTCCATTACATCCTCTCTGTCTACGTTGAGTGTCACGGTAAAAGGTATGAAGGAAAGCCTGTCTGCATGCACTGATGACGTTTCACATTTACAGAAAGAAGTACAGCGACTCACTGCAACAGCTGATACTCTGATATTCATCATCCTCTCTGTCTGTATTTCTCTTCTTCCTCTCTGTCTGTATTTCTCTTCTTCCTCTCTGTCTGTATTTCTCTTCATCCTCTCTGTCTGTATTTCAGCAACGACAACAACTCCCAGAATGCACAGCAATGCAGGCCACTCCCACTAAGGTCCTCTATTTACAGACATTTACTACAACACATACGGCCGTTTCCTCAACTGATTGAGAGATTTCTTCCAGTCCTGTCAGAAAACAGACTCTATGTCTGTGTCCATAGGCAAACAGTGAGAGCACCAACACTACAGTCCGCCCCAGCTCGAGCCGGCCCGGCTCCTCGTCCTCACCGCCGCGACAGTCAGGTCTTCAAAATCTTCTTCATCAACATCAGTTTTTTTCGGCATTATCAGCTTTCTCCATGGAGCCTGTTAGCAGGATGCACGACCATTCAAAACTACTACCAGGTTTCTAATGATACAAAGCTTAATGCAAATGGCTGAAGTATCCCTATAAACACGCTGTCCACTAACGGTGCATTCAGGTGGTGTCGGACACATCGGAAAAACAAGATTCCAATTTGTAAAATGCACATGAACACCTGCTCAAGTCGGAAAAACAACTCGTCACTCGGAAAAGAATGAGGTGCTCGACTTCCTGACTTGACGTCATCACATAGGGGGAAAAATATGTTTAATTAATGTTAACATACTTTTTATTAATTCATGTATTGACTATCAACTTTTTCCTCAAATATAACTGTAACATTAACATTTCACTGATCTTCTTTGGAGCATCAACGCTTTGTTGCTGTTGTTACAACATTCAGATTTTCTAAACTGAAATCAAGTCGGAAGAACGACTTCCTAACTCGGAAACTTGGAGCACCCGAGCAGCACCTGAATGCACCATAAGACCTGAGGGTCATGATGGAATAGTCCATGTAGTGCAGCTGGAGGGGGGAGGGGCCCTGAGACATGATTTATAGATGAACATTCTTCTGATAAGAACTTTTTGCGTATGGGTTTTTAGAAAAACATAATAACTTACCACAAAGTTTAAAAAATAAAAATAATTTTAAACAAGATTTTTTGGTAGGTAGGACAGAATCAGAAACCAAAGAGAGAGAGTGGGGAATGACTTGTGGGAAAGGAGCCACAGGTCGGATTTGAACCCGGGCTGCCCGCTCTCCAGGACTTAATGATGATGAAGAGAAACCTCAGTCCTCACAGCCTTAAGGGCCTTTCAGATAGGATGCGGCCGGCGGTGCGCGCCGCTGTCAAGCCCATTTATCTCCTTGCTTCGGAGTTGAGCTCAGCGTGGGGTCCTGCTCGCATTAATATTTAAAAATCAGTCTATAAGTACCTTCAATGTTTGTTTACTGTGTCCTGCAGATCTCCAGCAGCTGTTGGTGAGTAAAGAAGAGCTTCCATCTGAGCAGCAGGAG